GCAGGAATGTACAAAAAATACAAATTGATCCGAACTGATCCATAACTGATCCAATTTGTATTGAAAAATCTGATTTATTTTGAAAAAAATCCAAATCGATCCATTTCATAAAACTGGTTCAATTTTCTAATCCATTTTAACAAAATGGATCGGTTCGGTTCGGTTTAATTTAAAAAAAAACCAATCTATATATGAATAAAAAATAAATAACCGCAACAAATCAAACCAATCCAATTTTAGAAAAACGTTACATAATTTAAAAAAATCGAACTGATTCATTTTATAAAAAATAAATCGATTAATCAATCCACTCTTATAAAAATGAAGCAGTTCAGTTGAATTTTTTATAAAACCGGATCCATGAAAACTCCTGGTGAAGAGTTCAAAAGAGGGGCTAAATTTCCTAAACGCCATCGTGAAGTCTATATCATATAATTGACTGTAGATTTGCAAAATGATCCTATGAGAAACAGACACGTCTAGACTTATTCATATGTTGATGTGACGACTATGCTGTGTCCTGTGTGCTTGGGTTAATTTTGAGCAGCTAAAGCACAACCCACACTGAAAGCGGTCCAACAATTTGTTGCAGTTAGGATAAGGATTTGAATTCTTGTCATACGAATTTTTTCTGCAAAACTACTATATATTTAGCTTTGTGGAGAAAATTATTGGCCTGCTTCCCCTTTTCTCCGCCTCATATTTACTATCTAATTGGTTAGTGGCAAAAAGTAGCTTTTATTTAATGGTATCTCAAATTTTTATTTTCTGATGATAAACCTTTCATGTTCATCCGAAAGATGGGTGGTAAATTTGACAGAGCCAAAGATAGATATTTTCCATACGTGTTATGACTTTTTTTTTGGGTACCCTACATGCATTATTTTTTCCCTTCTATATATATAGACTCGACAATAATGTAGGAGAGTGAGTTTCGTTCTTTTCTTACTCCCTGATACTATTTTTATTGCATCGAAATTCCATAACGGTAGGAAAATAAGTACTCACCCTTGACAGAACAGAAGTTGGGTTTCCCCACCACTCTGAGTCTTTGGTACTAATTCCATTACTTTTCCGTCAAAAAATAGGAAATATATACTTCGTGTGTATCTTTCTTGGCCCCACTTTTTTTTTTTTTTTTTAGGACAGCTTTTAACTTTTTTTACTTGATGCATTTATTCATATTCTATATGCTTTTTGTCTAAGAATCAATTAGTACTAGTATTATTTATTCAATTTTCTAAATCGATTAATATTATTAAATAAGCTTGTTTGTAAACATATTCCACAAGAAAAATACACACAAAATGTTAGACAAATAACACATTACATTATAGAATACATGAAGATGTTTGCATAATTTCCTGAATAGCATGGCATCATTCTTATTCTTGCCCTTAATTTTAGAAACCGAAAAAATTGAAACTCAATCTTAGTTGCAGAGTTTTTTCTTGTTAAAATAAAGATATTAAATTCTCTCAAAATTATTAAAAAATATATATATATATATATTAATATCAACGATGGTTCACACAAGTAACAACTTATATTTTTTAACAAAATTATTCAAGTTTGAAACCAAATATTGAATATGAAATAGACTATATTAAAAAATAATACTTACTTTATGCAAACTCAAGATTTTTGGTAACAATAGATACATGTATCAATATAATGATTAAAAATATACACATTAATTACAAAAGAATAATTATACCTTTGAAAAATTAGATGTTACTTGCTTAATATTTTTGTTGTATAAGAAAAAACAAATAAATATATTATATAATCGAGAAACACAGAAAGTTTTGAATAGTACTGAATTATGAAAATAGAAAATAAAATACATCCAAACATATTATGGTATTTAATGTGAACTTCATAACTTATATATGGTAATTACTAATTAGAGTCTTGAATTCTTCAGCTGTATCTATAATTAAGCTTAGTGCTTTGGGAAGCTATGCACATTGATCCACACGCTTAGACTTGAACATATCTTAAAGAAAATATTTTGTGAGATTTCTCACAAATTTAGTGAATATTGTGATCTGAGTTATAATAATTACTGAGTTCATAAAATATTTTTTTTAAAATCGAAGGATAGAATAATTAATTTTTAAGACTGTGAAATGTTAATAATATTCTTTAAAACGTGAAATTAACCATCATTAAACCAACTACAACTAGTCCATCATCACGGAAAAAGTTCATTATTTGTTTAGTTGTTTTAACCTGATCGAATTATATTCCTGACTAAAGTCCCATCTATTTTAACATTGCCTAAATGGTATAAAACTTTATGATATTGACATAGTGCAAAAGGGGTAAAATGACTTGCCAGGACTTAGAAAACAGGATTTGATGTGGAATATTGAACATAGCACTAACTGGTGTAGATATTATAGCCTATAGGCCATGCCAGAAGGAATGGAAGTGGAGAGGAAAGGGAAGAAAAAAGAGAAAGAAAAATGGACAAGGTCGTGAGTGGTGACAATTTTTTGGACTGCTACTCGTCCTGGCGCTGAATTGCTGATGCTGCAGAATTTGTCGTATAGTGGTTATTATTATTTTTCTTTTCCTTTATGCAGCAAAGAATCAGTGGTTGATTTAAAAATTAGAATTTGAATAAACTATTTTACTTGTGGCATAAAAAAAAGAAAGAAATTGAAAAATTGCAATGATAAAGGGGGGCAAAGAGAGGGTGAAAGTAAGCGAAAGAGAGATGGAGATATGGAGGCATCACAAGCATGAAGCGAGAGAGAACCAGTGCACTTCCGCCCTCGTCAAGCACATAAAGGCCCCTCTTCCCCTCGTGAGTCGTGTCGTAACTAACTAACTTTCTAGATCTCATATTTAACTTTAATTTCTCTGTAGGTTTGGTCTCTGCTTCGAAGGTTCGACGAGCCGCAGCAATACAAGCCCTTCGTCAGCGGCTGCGTGCTCCAACAGGCTCACGTCAGCATCGGCAGCGTCAGAGAGGTCAACGTTAAATCTGGCCTCCCTGCCACCACCAGCACCGAGAGGCTGGAGCAGCTCGACGACGACCGCCACATTCTCGCCGTCAAGATCCTCGGCGGCGACCACCGCCTCAGGAACTACTCCTCCGTCGTCACCGCGCATCCCGAGGTCGTCGAGGGGGCGCCCGGCACCGTGGTGATTGAATCGTTCCTCGTCGACGTTCCTGATGGGAACACCAAGGACGAAACGTCTTACTTCGTGCGGGCTTTCATCAGCTTCAACCTAAGCTCCTTGGCCACCGTTTCTGAGAGGATGGCTGTGCAACCGTAATCTCATCATCTTTTATGCTTGTGGAGTGTGTGCAGAGTAGTCTTGTTTGTAAATATCTTTGTTAAAAAATAATAATACTTTTGCAGCTGTCATCACATATGCTACTCATCTTAACTCCATATGTTATGGCGAACTTTTCAGGGCTTTCATCTAACTTCTGATACATTCAATTAAGCTTTCGCATTTCATAAATTAATTGACTCGATATACATTTCAAGTGTTCATCGAAATGGATGCCTCTCTTGCCCAAACAAACATGAAATTCCAACCCAACCCACAAATCCATTCAAATCAAGCAAAATTAAGAGTTTATCATGTTATTTAGCTAAAAATGGTAGCCTGTTACCGAACATTAAAAATAAATTTTTAAAACAAATACCAAGTAAATAGGTTGAAACCCGCTCCACAAGCTTGAAATTCCTACCAGCACACACTCCCTCTTTTCTTTTCTCTCAAGGCAACCCTTATTTTTCAAGAGTGAGAGCAGAAAACTATCTTCCAACAGCAATCTTTCTTTCCCTCCTCTAGATACTTTGGTGATTCCAACGGAGGTAAGCTATTGTATTTCCCCTTCTTCTCCCTATATTCAAGTTTTTGATCCAATGAAATGCTCTGTAGTATCAAATTTCTGATGTGAACCTGTTAGGTATGGTATTTGGTGTTTCATCGAGTTTTCTTGGCTGAAGAGTGTTTCTTTCCTCTCCTCTACCCAAAGAAACCAAAGCTTAGTATTAGGACTATAAGAGGTAAGAAAAGCTTATTTAAATGCGTGTATGTCTGTTGAGAACTTGAAAATGAACTCAAATATCCTAGTTATGTGGAGTTGTAGAAACTGAGTTGCCATTGAATCTGTGTAACATGTATTGTACTCATTGTTTTGGTGATTTTTTATGCAAAGTTTGAATAGTGGATGGTATGGTATGTAATGTTAAATTCATGTCATTGATATTAGAAAAAAGATTTGAAGCGAAAAACAGCCATATATCTTTTCTGTCATTTTTGTTGAGCGAAGAAATATGGTTGCCAGCAAAAATGACATCAAGGGAAGGGAAATAAATTTCTAACACAGTCTAATAATCATTTATTTATGGTTAAAATCCTAATTTAGTCCCTTATAATATTAAAAAAATTTAATTTAATCCCACTTTAATTTTTAGTTTCAATTTAGTCTCAATTTATTTTAAAATTTTTAATATGAGACTTACGTCCAAATTTTACAAATAACGTTAAAGATCCGAAAGAATACGGACGTGATTCCAAATCACGGCTGTGATTATCACGGTCAGATTCTCACCATTTCTTTTTGCACCTCTTAATCTCATGTAATTCCCAGGTTGTGAGAGTCACGGCCGTGATTTGAAATAATCACGGGTATGATTCTCTCGGACCTTTTTGTGAAATTTGGATAGAAGTCTCACATTGAAAATTTTTAAATAAATTGGAACTAAATTAAAATAAAAAATTAAAATAAGACTAAATTGAATTTTTTTAATGTTATAAGAGACCAAATTAGAGTTTTAGCCATCATTATTTCAATTACTACCTTACAATATAGTTGATATTATATTGAATCTAACTTTTTTAAGCTTAAAAAAATTGAAAAAGACAAAATTTACAAGTATTATTAATATTTTTAGTGCCTTCAATTAAAAAAAACTAAGATCATTAATATCAAATTAATGCTCATTATTTAAGTCTTTTCTTTTTATAATTCATCACCTATAAAATTCTCAAATATATTTGGATACGGATAAAAAAATAAAGAAGAAGAAATTAAGTTTGGTTAAAATTACGCTCTTGATCTCTCTATTTATTTCAATATATAATTTTAGTTCTTTATTTTAAAATAAAAATATTTAATCCTCTTATTTTAAAAAAATATAAAATTTTTGTCCAATTGATAATTTGATGTTTGTTGATTGTTAAATTTTAACGTTAACCAATAATTTATCACCATTTAAATGACATAATATTTAGTGATGTGAATATAAGAATAAATATTAAAAAATAACATACATAAAATCTTCGTTTATATTTTTTTTAACAAGTGATTGATATTTATTTTATTAATAAATTTTATTTAAACTTTTTTTATATGTTATGTTATTAAATATTACATTATTTAAATATAAGTAAACATCAAAATCTATTAATTATAAGATGTCAATTTGACGAAATGATAAAAATTTTATATATTTAATAATAAAAAAAATTAAATATCTCTATTTAAAATGACAAAAATTGCAGTTATTAAAAATAAAGATTCAAAAACAGAATTTAGCCCTTTTTAAAAAAAATATGTTATACAGTTAAAAGAAAACAAATTATTCATTTAATATGTATATAAAACAATTGAAACTAAAATAATTAATCTTTTACTGAATGTGTGATCTCACAACTACTATTTCAATAAAATCAATTTTTTATGATTGCTACTATTTTTTTTTATTAAATTTAATCTCTATATTCCATCTATTGTATTTTTTGTTTGAACTTAATGTAAAATAAATTTTCTCATAACGTTTCAAATGAATAATAAAACTTTTCACACAATCTATAGTCTATAGCATATTTATTTATTTGTATACATATTTTTAAACTATATAATCTTAGTAATAAATTAAATATGAATAATATAATATAATTTTCTATTAAACAATTAAAATTAAACTACTTTTTATAAATATGGATAAAAATTAAAAACTTGAAAGGGGATTACCTAGCTGGCTCTCCAGTGACCACGACTAGGGATGGCAACGGGACGAGTCGGATACGGGTTTCATGATACTCGTCCTTGTACCCGTCCCCGTACCCGTACTTATCGGGTATATGATTTTCATCCCCATCCCCATCCTTGTCAAGTATCGAGCATACCCGTACCGGTCAATTTTTTTTTTTGTAAAAAAATGATATTTTTAAATTATTTTTTTATTTATATTAAAATTATAATTAGATTATTTTTTTATCTCATATTATAATAAATAATCACACATAAAAAATATTAAAATTATTTAATATAATTAAATTGAAATGGGTATTAAATTAAAAATAATAACGGGTACGGGGCGGGTAAGTACATATCCCTACCCGTACTCGATTTAATATATCGGGCTTTACCCGTACCGTACCCATAATTGGTCAAACCAGGTATTTTTCGTCAAAGTTGGAATGAGTTCGATTATTACCTGCAGGTACGAATATATATGCGATCCTTAACCACGACTTTGCTTCTGAAAAATCCATAAAGAGTTACACAGAAAAAAGAAAAGAAAGAGGTGTGACAATTAATATTAGATGGGCCAACAAAATTTAATCCAACAATGGAGTGTATCCGGTAAGAAATGAGTTGTCTAACCCAACTAAAGTGTTCATTCAGATCACACTTGAAAAATATGTTTTGTAAGGAAATTGTGATTGAGTTCCAGAAATGATGGAAATACCTCATTTCCTTTGGCATGTGAAATTGTGCTACAATTCATCAGTGACATAACAACAAAGAACTGTGTTAAGCAGTATCTGGAGAATTTTTTCTAGAAGACAAGTTGATGAGTTGGGAACATCACTTCCCCTTAAATAACCTTAAATTAATATCTGCTTCCTGTTTTTTCTTCCACTAGTTAGCAAACTTGTTGGTTGGTATTTATGGAATACCATATGAAACTTGTGGGGTCCACATAGAAAACTTAAAGAGGCTACATTAAGGGCAATGGTTGTATCATGTTTGGTGTTGGTGAAGATGATAGAGGGTGAGGCAACAGTGTGAAAGTGAAAGAGTAGGGCTTTGAATGAATGAATGTGACAATAAGAAATGTGGCTGTCACTGCGCATCGTGCTTCATGCAACCGCCCATTTGGCCCTCGCACGTGCCACCAGGTGCTCATCAAGTAAAACATGAGCACCCTCTACCCGATCATTTTACCAAAATGCCCGCGACTGAGGTCCTAACCTATGTCCTAACAAATCAGCCTTTTATTTTATGCCTTCTAATTTTGGATGAATTAACTCACATTTTAATTTTTAACCTACTCTTTTTTTTTTTTTTTTGTTTTTTTTGTTTTGTGTTTTAATCAGTCCCACCTGCTTTCTAAAATTGATTTTGCATAGATACTAATGGATGAACGAACAATTTTAATCTTTTATAAATTTTTATTTGTTTAATTAAATATTATTTCAACATTATAGATATTAAAAGAACTAATAATAAAATTTTATAAGAAGAAAAATGTTGCTCCCATGTTTCATATTAGATCAATCAGAGTTATATTTAATCATTTTTTTGTTCACATATTTTATTTTATTGTGGGGAGTTGGTTCTTATAATTGATTTAAATTAAAATAACTTTAAGTAATTTTATTTCTTTACATCGAAAATCTTATATCTATTTTTTCTATTAATTTACTTTTAAAATTTTAATGCCAGAATATGATGAAACAATAAGATAATTACTGTATTCTATCCGACATTTTAGCATGTGTTGTACATGATGCTCATTTATTTTATATAATTAAATTTATGGAAATTATTTTTAATATATAATAAATAAAGTTCTGTTTGATTAAATTTTTTCTTAAAAATGATTTTATAATCAAAACAAATTTTTTATAATTTTTTGATGTGTTCGTTTTCATAACTATTATTTTAAATAGTTTTCTATTTTAAAAAACATTTCTATTTGTTTTCTTAAAGAATCACTAATTTAAAAATATTTTAAAATTTTAAATTAACAATAAATTATATTTTAAATTTATAATAAATAATTTAC